CTACAATCCTACCAGCTTATAACTTTTCCCCTAGAAAAAGCCAATAATTATTTTTTTGGCTAGCATTTGACTTCAATAAATTTAGGGTTTGGATTGTTCTTGCTCGTCTTTTATTCCCTTTGCACCACCAAAAAAAAAAGTTTCTGGCATTTTAATGTCTCGAATTGTGTGTGGAGAAAAAGAATGTCGGAATATGGTTTAAAATTCGAACTTAGCACACACTAGCCTGTGCAAGAGGGACAAATACTCATCAAATACAAATTTTTCCGCTTGCGACTTTTTATTTTGGGTTAATTACATTTTTACATTAATTGAATAATAATTATATTTTAATATAATTATTATGATTAAAATTAATTAATTATATTTTACGACAAATGGTATATAAAAATTACATAAGCATAAGAAAGTTATATTCTAAAACTTTTTCGTTAATTTATTTTCTAAAATTAATTTATATTATTTTTATCTCATTAAGCGATAATTTCTTAAGTAAACTAATTGATTTAAGTGATGTAGTCAAACTCATTAAAATTGCGTAATCAATTGATATAATAGCAAATTTTATATTTTTTAAACTAATTAATTGGTCATAATTCCTTAAAATTATAAAAAAAAATATATTGTTCATTACATGTAATGCAATTGATATAGTGATTCATGTGCATATACATGTTCAAACATTTAAAATATAATATAGCTATATAAATAGTAATTTTAATATATGCATACATATAATTTTAGAATTATATTATTTCAATTTAAATTTGTGCATGTACTATTTTATCCCTTCTACATATTGAATTTGTATGTTGCAATTTTATTACGTGAAAACAATTTTTTTTGTTTTTTGTTTTTTGAAGAGAACCCGTGAGAGTAAAGGCTGTATAGATTTGCGTTGGTTTTCTCTGCAATCAATGACTATGAAGGCCCATTTCATACTATTTCAGATAATTTGGGCTTTTTGGATGTTTGTGTGTGTGAGGCAATGTGTTTTAAAAATATAATACATGTGTCCTTATATGTGTGTTTTACAATATATAAGTGTTATAAACTGACCTAACACATTATTAGTATTAGCAATATATTTAAGCCAGTGGTTTGAGGTTGTTGATAATGTAAAAAATTCAAACTAATAAAAGCAGGGAAACTACTGTTTAAATGAAAATGAAGCTAGAGTTTACTGAAGCCTGCAGCAGCTCAGAGTACATTATATATACACACACCAACAAGGCAAAAAAAAACCCGAGCCTTCTGTACAAAAATGTAAAGGTCCACCTAACCAATTGTTTGTCTAACTTCGAGCTTTAATCAAGACGAGACTTTTGGTTACAAACGCGTGGGAGTTCATTTGTAATAGAGTCGAATGCAAGTGACTTTCAGCTAGAGACATGTGACTCGTGTAAATTACATTGGGTTTGTTCTTGTAATTGATGAGAAGGCCAATGCATACGCTCGGGAGGACAAGGCACTGGAGCTTGTTTTGCTATAAAAGTCGGGACTTTATTGCCAGGCATCACTACTGATACTTCTCTTGCATTGGCTGATACNAAAACGATACAAGAAGAATAATTAAGCTAGTAAGTGAATCGTTACAGTGTACGGTAAAAAGCGACTTGCTATTTTTTGATAGTCTATGTCCACTTGAGTGAGGTGACCGTAAATTTTTTCTTTTTTTTTCCTATTTTTAAAGGCTTTATCCCATATCAAAATGAGAGTTCAATGTCTTAGTTGAAAGAGAGTGAATATGAGCCTATTTCTCTAGGTGGATGCTTGTCTAATTTTCTAATTTATAGAATTCACATGGCTCAGCCTTTGAATAATGAGTACAGAACAAATGTAATAGATCATTTATATTGTTGATAGGCTGCCTAACCATTAGTTAGCCTTCATTTTCTAATCGATTTACATACTTTTAACCTCAAATGTATAACATAAAAGTACAATTATGCATTTTTTATTTTGTTAGAGTACGATTGCCTAACATTAATCAGCTTAACAACAAAATTTGCGCTACCTAGCAGCATCAGATTTCATNGATAACACAGTAACAGCCTATGATAATCAAAGGCCAATCAAAACCAAAATTCACTTTAAACCCTGCTCAGCCTAGACCATCCTAAATGTTACTGAAGCGTGTAATCTAAACAAAGAAGAATATTTTAAGTAAGTTTGGAAAGCTATGATCCGCTTGCAAGTAATATAGCTGTATGAATCATTAATGATGTAACAAAGACAATAAACTAAAAGGGCCAAAAGGAGATTACAAAAGAACAGTGGGGCTGAGCCCAAGAATGAAGAAACTATATTTATCTGGGCAGAAGGTTCAATTCTCATTAATGGAAGTGTAGGGACCAATAAAACAACTCAAAATGCTTCATGTAATGGGTCACCATTCCAAATATCCTACACAAGGATGATGCTTGGTGCAACAAGTCCTAGGAACATTCACATGGAATTCTCTATAATAAACAATGCAAAGAATTGTGGAACAAAAATAAAAAGAAATAGAAGAACAATGGGACTGGCTAATTCATTGTTGCTTTTGTAAATACATTATTTTTTTGGCAAGTGAATTATTGAATATTTTAACTAGTAGGAGTGTGTTGATGAAGATATGCCATCCCTTCTTTTTTGCAGCATTAAAGGAACATCATAGAATAAGTCAATATTCTCTGCGGATTCAGACAGATTTTGCATCAGTTAATTAATAATGATACTACCATTTGTTAAAAATAAAGTTTCCAACCTAGTTTCCTAAAATATATTATCTGAATAAGAACAAAACAGAGGGAGTGCATTTGAAGAGAACCCTGATTAAAAAAAAATAAAAAATCAAAAGCTCAATAGGATGATGTATAAAGAAAAAAGGTTAAAGCAAAAAAGAAGAAGAGGGCTTTTTGTCAAAAAGAGCAATCATCACAATTCACAACCTTCAAAAGCAACATCATTACCAAGATTCATAATCCACTCAAAGCTAAACCAACCAAAGGGGCAAAAAATCACACGGTCGAGTAAAAAAAAATATTAAAAAGGGTAAAATGGGTAAAACTTGAGAAATACTCACCTTAGGTGATGGATACCCAAGCTTACAATTGAAGCGAGCAGCACTGTCCTGGGCCTCAATGTCGGCGCGCGGCCGCCGCCCTCCGGCCGGCGGCGAGGACGTCCGCAGCAATTTCTCGAATATGGCCATGACGAGGAACATCGAGATGAGAATGGCGGTGGCAACGAACCCGAAAGAGACGGCGTTGACGGAGTTGTCGAAGTGCGTCCAATGGTCTTCCCTCGGGATGTACGGCGGAGCGCCGCCGGGTGCCGGAGGCGAGCTCCCCCACCCGTCTCCTCCTCCGCCTCCTCCCCCACCGCCCATTACAGATTGCTCTGCACGCACGATTGGACCAGCTGGAGCAGAAATTGGACCACGGAAGGAAGGGAAAATGAAAAAATGGGCTGTCAATTCGGTTATGGCAGTTTGGGAAGCTTTTGAAATTTTTTTTTTTTCTGTCAGGGCATTGTTAATTTGTCATCTCATGAAAGGTAGGGCGCAGCGCTTAAGATTCTCTTCTTCTTTATAGAGAGAGAGGAAAAAAGAGTGACCCTCTCCAGAGGGTTGAAAATGGAAGAAGAATGCTTTGGGATTTGGGAAGATAGTGAGAGAAGCGCGTTTATAATGAGTAAGAAAGCGTGGTAACGGAACTTGGAAATAACGAGGCTCGTGTGGTGAAAAAAAGGAACGTCTCTTAATTTTTTTTTTTTTCTTCTTCTAGTAAATAATATGAAAAGTGAAAACTTTATTTAAATAAAATAAAATGTATTTTAGATTGTGAATGAATACAAAATAAAATTGTAATGATTAAAGTGAATAGATATAAATAGAATATAATATTATCTGATATTGGTTGAGAGTGAAATATAGTTAAAAATATATGAAATGGTGAATATATATTTTTTTAAAAACTATAAAATATTAGTTCTTTTTTATTTCTTAATTACGTTAGTTAGATGTAAAAATGAGATGCAAATCAGTAGTTTTTTTTTTTTTTTTAAATAAGTATTTTATTTCTTGATTTATTGATACAAATTATTAGGAATAGTATTTTACATATTAAATTTGTATTTTCAATATTGGTTTAAGTAAAAGTTTCTAGATAGAGAACAACACTTTTGGTTGTATTTAACTTAGTATATGTTAGTGGAGGTAGGGAAGCGTACAAGTGGGAATGATAAGAATGAGATCTCAATCTCAAACACGATAAAATTAATTAAATTTTATTTCATTCAAAAATCAACTGAAGATAACAAAAGAGGGGGAGTCATTTAAATAAGGTTCCTTTAGTCCGTTTGCGGTTCCAGTTAGCCACTTGTTGAAGTCTCTGGTTCAGTACTCAAGCTGGAGTTCTATCCTTTGTGCGGTCATCTCCGGGTGTCGACCCATGGAGTGTTGCGGTTGTTTTGCCGGCGGGCGGAAGGTGTTACTCTAGTATTGCTTGTGTTAGTATTTGTGTTGGTGCTTTGAGTAGCTTGCTGGGTGTTTGTTGGTTTTTTGTTTTAGTCTTCTTCTTAGAAACTTGATCTCTCCTTGTGAAAGTGTATAGTTTGTTTTTACTGTGGGTGCGTTAGTATAGTTATCTAGGTTATCCTTGAGAATAATTTAGTTTTTAGTCCACTGTATTGGAAATTTTCCAGCAAAGATCCATCTTTTTGGAAGACATCAAACTTAATACATTAATTTGAAAATTCATCAACTAAGCTACACTAATCATTAGTAATACGATAAAATTTGCCGTTTCATTTTCTGTCTAATTTGAAAGTCGTTCGATGTCTGTTTCATATGTGTGATCTATCGTTGGATTCTTCTCGCTGAGACGGTCGTATCCGTAAACTTTTAGTCCAATTATAGTTCGTTTTCCTACTCAACTTTCATCCAAAATAATTTTAGCTATTTTCTATCTAGTTTAATTACGATGCCATATAGCATCTGGTTCAGGTGGTTGACCAATCTTCGGATTCCTCTTGTCGAATCGATCATACTCACAAAATTTGATCTCAGTTGGAGTTTGTTTGTCTGCTCAATTTGTCATCTAAAATAATTTTAGTCCAAAATTGTTGTTATCTATCTAGGGGCCATTTTGGTGGCTTATGGTGCACGTTTTAGTTTGGTGACTCACTGGTGAATTTGTCTCATCGAGACGATTGTACTATACATTTGTAGCTCAATTAGATTTTATTTGCCCAGTCATTTTTTTCGTCCAAAATAATTTGGATTGTTCTATTTTCAGCTTAATTATGGTGTTGTGTCACGTTAGTTTCAAGTATGTGATCCACCGTTGAATTCTTTTCATCAAGACGATCATATAACCAAAATTTCAGACACAATGGAGTTCGTTTGCTTATTCAATTGCTCGTTTAAAATTATATGCGCAAACTACATTTTCGGCTCGTGATTAGCCCGCATCAAGCCCGTGATAATCTGATCTTTATCCTAACACTAATGATTAGTTGATAAAATTTTCAAATTAAATGTACCAAGTTTGATCTCTGTGATAGAGGTGGATTTTGCTGGAAAATGATCAATATAATAGATTAAAAATTAAATTTGTCGTTATCCTTATAAAGGCCTCCTATAGATTCAGTCGGATGACTGTTTGTGATGAACATGTGGTCACTATGAAATGCTTGTTTTATCCTTTTCTTATTTCCTATTTTTACATTATGTACTAGTTAAGTGCAAACGACATCGTATTGGGTTTATGTGTAAATTTGGACTTTGAGCGGGCTTATAAATTGAACCGCGGTTTGAATGAAAAAGACGGTTCTGGAAATTATCAGAAAAAAATATCTTTCGAGTTCATTTTCTTCATGGTATCAGAGTAGGTCAAGCTTGCTGAAATTTGATGAGATCTTCAATGGCGAATCGCAACAATAATGAAGCATGGCCATTACTGAATGCGAGAACAAGCACTGAAATAGATAATCGAGAAGACAATTCTCTATTCCTCCATGGATTGGACCACCCTGGCTTGCAATTGATTACGCATCCTCTGACAGGAGTAAATTTTCTGATATGGAAGAGATCAATGATGATCGCACTTGGTGCGAAGACGAAGCTAGGCTTTATTGATGGCTCGATTCAACCGCCAAGTGCAGCAGATCCAGATTTCGAGAAATGGAAGAAAGTTGACTCTACGGTAATTTTCTGGATCCTAAGTTCAATTTCTAAGGACATAGTCGATGGATTTGTATATGCTGAAACTGCTAAAGAACTATGGGATGAGATATGTCAAAGCTTTGGTGAGAGTAATGGTCCGTTGATCTATCAATTACAAAGGGAAATTTCAAATTTAAAGCAAGGCAGTGATTCGGTTATGATATATTTCAATAAACTGAAGCGCAAATGGGAAGAATATGGCTGCTTAGTACCTCATTTGATCTGCAAATGTGACATTGGAAAGAAAGTGGATGAGCAACACCAACAGAATAAGCTCATGCAATTTTTAATGGGACTAAATGAGAGCTATGATCATGTCAAAAATCAGGTATTACTAATGGATCCTTTACCCTCTGTCAGCAAAGCTTATTCTATGCTCCTATCTGCTGAAAGACAGAGGTCAGTGCAGCTCGTTGGTGATGACTTTAACTCAGGAATGGCAATGGCTTTTAAAACTAGTGCAGCTTTTGGAAGGGGTAATGGCAGTAGGATACCTAGTGGACAACCTTCTTTTGGTAGAGGAAGAGGAGGACAGAGGTTATCTAAAGAAGAAAAGGCCAAATTAGTCTGTGATAATTGTGGATGGAAAGGACATGAAAAGGCCACATGTTTTAAATTGCATGGTTATCCTGATTGGTTTAAGGAGATGAGAGATACCAGGATGAAAGGGTTGGCTAATGTGGTTGAGGTGAAAGAAAATAATCAGACAAATCTTGGAGCTGGTTGTAATTCAGTACATGATATATCTAAATTAGCTCAAGAAGTGGTTAAAATTCTTGGTAAAGGCAATAGAGAAGGGAGAGGAGGTCATCCATTTGCTGAAGATGACCATTATGTAAATTTTTCCACAAATGAGCAGGATTATGCACTGTCTATGTATGATAGTGTTGAAGGCAAAGCTTGGATGATTGACACAGGTGCAAGTAAACATATGTGCACAGACAAGGCTCTTATGAAAAATATGGTGAACTTATCAAAGCCAATCACCATTTACCTACCTGATGGGAGTATCAAAGAGGTACTTGAAATGGGAGAAGTAGAACTTACAAAGGATTTAACACTGTGTGATGTGTTATTCATACCTTCATTTAAATATAATTTGCTCTCAGTTACACAATTATGTGCCTCTTCAAACCTGAAATGCACTTTCACTTCTAGCCAATGCATATTTGAGAATGCACTGACAGGGTTAAGAATGGCATATGGAAAACTGGAAGGGAAACTATATATATTAGCAGTTGAGGAAAAGCACAAAGAGAGACAAATGGCTTGCAGTGTCTCTCTGGAACAGTGGCATAAGATTCTAGGGCATGCCTCATTTGGTGTGCTACAACATGTTAACTTCTTGAAGGGTTATTGCAATGAGAAGAATGCACTGAAAGATTGTGAAATCTGCTTCAAATCTAAACAACACAGAACCCCATTTCCTTTGAGTAAGATTCAGTCATAAGGCATATTTGAGATGATTCATGTAGATATATTGGGACCATGCAGAGAGGACAATCTTACAAACACACCGTACTTCTTGACTATTGTTGAAGATTATAGTAGGGCTGTTTGGATTTACTTAATGAAAATAAAAGGGGAAGCAGTGGGACACATTGAGAAATTCCTGATGATGGCAAAGACTCAATTTGGAAAAATAGTTAAAAGGATGAGAAGTGACAATGGGTTAGAATTCATTGGGCAGGAATGTCAACGGTTGTTGACTAAGAATGGGATTATTCACCAGAAGAGTTGTGCATACACACCCCAACAGAATGGGGTGGTAGAGAGAAAACACAGACAACTTTTGGAGATTGCAAGAGGATTGTTGTTTCAATCTGGTCTGCCACTTTTATTTTGGAGTTATGCCGTGTTGACTGCAGCATTCATAATCAATAGACTTCCCAGCTCTGTCTTGGGATGGAGTAAACCTTTTGCTAGAATATATGAGAAGGAGGTTGACTACAGCAAATTGCAGCCCTTTGGATGTCTGGTTTATGCTGCCAATACTTCACCTCCCAAAGGTAAATTTGATACTAGATCTCACAAATGTGTGTTCATTGGTTATTTGGTGGGATGCAAAGGGTATTATTTGTATGACCTTGAAGAGGGAAAGAGATTTGTCTCCAGAGATGTTGTGTTTTTCCCAGGAACTTTTCCTTTCCAGTCTGAGCCAACTAAAGTGGATTCCTCAGTCACTCCTTTACCAAGAAGTTTTGAATATCAATTAGAAGTTCCTGACACTACATCAGTTTCCTCAACAACAGTTTCTGCACCTATTTCATCTTCCACACCAAATGAGCCAAGGGAACAAATGGACAATGCAGTGCTGAGATCACAAAGAATAA